CCATTGTTTCTTCGAAACCTAACGGTAGGAGAGTGAGGAACAGCGGAGGTCACTGTGGAATTGCATTTGAACCTCAAGCGCATAGTTATAGTCTGCCCACACCTCCAAGGGAGCACTCTCAAAAGGGAGGGGAAGGCAAGAATAAGCCCCAAAGGAGTATATTGACACGAAAAAATCAGATCCAGGCTAAGAGTGAGACAGGAAAGAGGACACAACATGAAGGAAAAATAACACCTACTTTAAATGCAGACCCAAATTGTGTGCCCGTGAACGTGTCCAACCAGAGCAACTTTTGATATAAAGGGAGGAGGATTGATTAAAAGGTAAAATCTGGACATAATTTCTGCAGAAGCAAGAAGCTGTGACTTCTCTCGAGACAGCAGACCACCTGGTTAGACAACTGTTTAAATTTTTTCTACGCACACTAAGTTAATTTTCTCCTTTTCCGTTTTTTATTTTTCGCCTAAGAACGTTTTCTTAAACATAGCCTGTGGTATTCTCTGCGAAATTTTGCTTCCACCGCTAGCCACTTGCAGATGGCTGCTCTACCGCAGCGTGTTGACGAATGCCTCAGTAGTCGATGGTTTTTTACTATTAAGGTTTTCTCAAAACTTCGCAATTATGATTAAAATACGTGTTTTTTGTGAGTTCGCATTTGTGAGTGCGTGACCGATCGCAGGAAATGTTAACCAAAATTCTGGAAGGCGTTTCCGGTTAGGAACGATTACTTAAGTGGGGTTCTTATACCGATTATCATACAGCATAACCCTGAAACATTTCGGACAAGCCAGGATGTCGGCTTCTGAATGCACTTATTTTTGACCTCCTGCAGAAACCACACTCGGTAAATAATGACTACTGAAGCAGCATGCTTTTTCTCCTATTGATTTTCGATGGTCTTATAAATTCAAATATATTTTATAGAAACCATGCACGAAATTATGAGATTTTTAAGACCGTGCGATGTCTGCGAATACAAGACAGCACATGTTTGTTTACAAATGCTCCTCGTAAAATGCACAAGACAGTCCGGATCCATTACAAAATTTCAAGAACTCTATGTGATATCTTCTTAAAGACATAGAGGAATATATGATTCCCCTTACGCGGAAAGCATGCACCTTGTAGACCGAAATTGCTAAAAGCTGATGCAATGGCAGATCAGGCTGAAAATTATTCGGGAATTGGGACACTTTTTTAAAACCTAAATATACACGTTCTTCGGGCATAAAGTATGACGACACTATGATTTCTTTCCAAATGAACAAAATAAAGTATATTTTGTGCATGTTTTCTATAAAACATATTTGAGTTTATGAGACCATTGAAAATCAATGGGAGAAATGCATGCTACATAAGCATTCATTTTTTACCGAGTGTGGTTTCTGCAAGAGGTCAAAAAGAAGTCCTTTCAAAAGCTGACAGCGTGGCTATTCCGAAATGTTCTAGGGTTTTGCTGCATGGTAATCATTATAACAACCCCACTTAAGTAATCCTTCCTAATCGGAAACAAATTCTAGAATTTTGGCCAACATTTCATGTAATCGGTCACGCACTGTACAATGCTCAAATTGGCAGACGCATATAACTTTAGGTTTGAATGTTACCAGGGCAATTGCAGATTGATTACGTGGTCCAACGGCTTATACAGGTCCGGTTTCTCCCTCCGTATGTAAGCTGATTCCAAGTAACGCAAGGTTCGAGTTGTATGCGGTCGGACAAGTACTTTAAAATATGTTTTAGGGTCGACAACATGATCGCTGTCTAACAGATGCTTCGTTAAAAAACGAACGGAGGGTTTTGTTTTCCTGTTTAAAAAGCCAATTAGGCAAACGCTCAACTATCGTAAAATACAAATGCACGCACTTTGCGAAAACCGCCTGTCAATGAGCACGGAGAGTTTGGGCTTTCGCCTTTTTCTTTTTGGTCTTATTCTTTATCAATTGAAGACGAGCTATCCCAGCAAATGTTACCTGACATTTTAAAACGTGTTTTTGATTCGAAGGGAGTACTAAAGTAGGGGAATGGGAAAAAATACTAAGTACAGGCTTGCACCAAACAAGAGTCACCAGCGGCAAAAATGATGCACTCATTTCGGTATCGATTGAGTAGTCTCTGGGATTAGTCACTCGTTGACTTTCGAATTTTTCAGCTTGAGTAGAAAACCTGCGTCATATTTTTGGGAAGCAGCGACTCTGACCTACTGATACATGATTGCTCCTCTATAGAAATGCAAACTATGCCAACGGATGCGAGCTCGAACAGTCAAGATAGAGGATAATTCCTTATAGTCGCCAAGTCATACTACAATCCCCGATCGCGAGGGCTTGAAATGCCGCCTAGTTCCAATTTGCCAGTGAACATAAAGCGCCATCTGTTACCCCCGCGACCATTCTCTGCCAGATAGAAAGACGAATATTAAGGGGCATACGGGAGCGAAGTTGACTAATCTGGACTGGTCGCACAGGAAGAATGGCGACTTTGCGTTCTGTAGTTAACAAATAAAAATAAATAAATAAATAAATAAATAAATATTTTTATGCATTTTTTCTATGAAATATATTTGAATCTACGAGGGCGTCGCAAATCAATGAGAAGCCTTCATACTAATTAGGTAGTCGTTTTTGCAGAGGGCAGTCTTTGCAAGCGATCGAAAATAAGTTTGCTTCAAAGCCAGCACCCGGAAGTAATCGGAATATTCTGGGCTTATGCTGCACTGTAATTAGTATTACAACCCTACTTAAGAAATCTTTTCGAGTCAAAACTCAAAACGGAATTTCGTCTGACATCTCATGAGTTGGCACATCTACTACATTAAAATCAAAACTGCTTACAAAATATACAGAAGAAGTTCTGAGATTATTTACAAGTCTCTGTCTAATAACCTTAAAATCTTAGAAACCAACCAAGCCAGGAGGTAGTGTTTGCAATTTGGAATATGAAGGATTATACTGAAGCATAGGAGACGGCAACACCACAACTAATCATGACAGCCTAGACCAAAAACTAATAGCTGCATATACGCAAAGTTATCTGTTTATTTCCGAATAGGCGATTAGCACCCCTGCAAACTTGCAAAATTACTGAGCGCGGAATAAAAACCATAAGTCGGCATCTTCAGACAGCTTGTCCACCTAGCTGTGCCAACCGCGGCTGCTGCAAATGCTTCATGCGCAGTACGTGAACTCACTTCCGCTACTGACTTCTACTGATAAACATCTATCAAGAGGTATAAGCTACAACAACAAATTTGCTTGTAAAGGCTACTGGGGGCTTGTTTGACATCCTCGACCAGCTATTCCCGTTTCCCAGTCTCGGGAGGGCTTTCGATGGGAGGATTTGAAAAAGACATCATTATGCCGCTTCAAAACCAAATACTAAGCAAGTAGACGGAAATGTCAAAAACAACAAACCATCCAACTTCTAGACCAGTGTAGCATATGGTATCAAGGGTAACTTGCTAGAAGTTACATGACATATTGGGACAAGTTATCACAGCTTTTTTCAGTAGTTCTCGAGAGGAATTACTTTGAGTGACATTGATCAGCAAAATAAA